TTGGATAGTTTATAATGAAGCTCTGCAGTTGTCCTCTCAGGATAATGTGCACGATTATTATAAGGAGAAAGTAGATCGCAGTGCCACAGTGCTGACTGTCATCGGACCCTGTGTATTTCACTTGCATGTCTGCAGCATGACCCCGAGGATTAGGGAGTTTGCTGAGGCTTGCTGCATGTGTCTGTGTGTGTGTGTTGACAGGAGGCCGTGGTCTGCTGTGGTCAGTGTGGAACACAGGCCTGCATCCCAACAGGTGCTGAGCGTGTTGGTCTCTGATGTTGAATGGGCTCTTTGTTTCAGAAGATTCACCCTCAGAGAGAGGGCAGTGCCAGCAGAGTACCCCTGCCCCAACCTCTCCCCGCACACAGAGTTATCAGCGGGAGGTCATGTCGGTATTTGTTTATCCCAACGTCTGTGCAACTGTGTTTGAGTAACCCAGCTATCCTTCATTATACGTGTTAGCTTTAAAGATCAGGAGTAGGTGTGAGCAAACAATTTAATAGCATAATCTGTAATCTTCGAAGCTTTTCAGAAGATTTTCAGACACAAGCTAGTGGGAAACATCTGATGCTGAGAAACTACACCACCAAGACCCAAAAACTGCGCTTCCTCTAGCGGTCATCTGACTCTCAAAAAGCGAGTCGATTCCCACAGACTCTAATGTTTAAACAGCATTAAAAAGGAGGTTACAGCAGCGGCAGTGGTATTTTGTGATTTTTACAGAAGGTATGCAAAATGTTCCTAATCAGTGTTAAAAGGATGAATATGCAAAAGATAGGCCTTGTGGCGAAGGGCAAATACAGAGAATTTTATCGTATCTGGGGCCCCTTCGTAAACTATTGCAAGTCATTAAACGCTCTACCAGCTGATTAATATCATATCACCCTTTTTTTTGTGTGTGTGCTTTAGGGTTTGTTGTTTGTGTTTGTTTTGGGTTTCTTCTTAGATTTTGTTTTGTTTGTTTGTTTTTTCAATTTTATTTAAGCGTGTGTGTGAGTGTGTATTATCGTATCTGTTCATGTAAGAAAAACTAAAAAATATGTGAGGGGAACAGATTGTATTGTCATTGTAAACTAATGTACACTTGTCTCTCAATAAAAATATGAAAAAAAAAAATAAAAGGATGAATATTACTGCTGCGTATGTTTCAGACCATAAGCTCATTTTAAATACTTTATATTCTGTTTAGTGTCCAGCATTATATTCAATAAATCATCTGTTTGTAATGGCTGACCTGTGGGCATCATGTATCTCTGAAAATAAACAGAAACACAGGCCTGATTTACTGTTTAAAAACAGTAAATTAAAATATACAAATAAAAAAAATAAAATCAGCTGAATTAAAAGGCTCGAGCAGTTTGTGACATGCTTAACTGTCAATGTCTACAGTGAATATTATTGGAAAATGAAGGTAAAGTGTGGGCTGGTGAA